CGTGCAATGCATAACTCCCAAACTCGGGTCGTTAATATCCCACTGCTGACCGGAATTATGAGGATCTTGGCCGGCATTAAGTGCAAAAAAGGAGTGCTTATATACTGCAAAATGCGGTAATATTATCCAGGAATTACACACAAATATTTTTCCGATTATTATACAGGTTTTAAACATTATCTGTTATATGTTTATAAAATTTCTAGAAAACCATGGTACTAAATACAAGGTCAACCTTCCAGATTTTGCATCATACCCGGTCCGTAATAGTATACGGTAATATTATATATAGATTTTTTTAAAAAAATAGATGGATGGGTACGTCAAACAAACAGTTAATTTGGAACGGCCCAATTGACAATGCTAAAATAAACAATTCCTTTTTTGAATAATTATATGAATCTCTTTATAAGATTTTTTTTCTGAAATTTATTCAATAAGAGCCTAATTTATGATGCAAAATTAACGATATTTGTAAGTTTATAAAAAAATATGTATAGAGATTTTTTAATGTATTTATAACGACAGCTTTATTAGCATTATCTTATAAAAATAGAACTTCGGCTTTAATTAATTATAAAATTTAATAATACAAAACACAACTAATGCAATTGTGAATTTAACAACAAAGGATCTTGAATCTTGAACTAATGTAATTTAAAACACGTAACAGATTATCAGAGATTTATTACATCCTGAAATGAAATTTTTGACAATCATGATATTGAAGTGAAAAACTGGCGGTATTTTTAGTATCTTAAGGAATTTTAATCATTTTAATATAACCATAATTCTCAATTTAGACGCAAAATCTCTCAGATAATTTTATATATTGTTAGTTATACTACAGATGAAAATAACTTTCTTTAAATTATATTTTGTTAGAAGGAAATCATTTAAATTCATTATTTTTTGATTTGTTCAGGATCTACAATATTAATACTTAGACAAAGAAATTGTTTAAGTATAGAGATTTAAAATTTAAATAAGGGTTTTAAAGAAATGTAGTATTATTTTTCATATGGACCTTCAGTTATCTAAAAAAAAAAATCTACAGTCAGAACTAGTGTTCCGAAAGGGTCGGGTCAAACCCGGGTCATTTGACCCAACCCGTGTTTAAAATCCGAATCGGGTTTATCATTATTTGACACGAGTCTTATATTCAACCCGACTCGTCGGGTCAGGGTTACACCTTTGCTTGACCCGGGTTGACCTGGGTTGACCCGGGTTTAATCAAATATTTATATTTAAAATATTTATAAACGTTTACATTACACGATTTTTAATTTCTAACTTTGTTTGTGTATAAAATGAGTGAAGCTGAGAAATTAACTCTTGGAAAGCGAACTTATTTAAGAAGTCTATAACACTTGAGCAGATCGAATTCAAGATGTTCTACTATGATGGAAGATATATGTTTAATAATAACTAGTCTATTTTATTAGATTTTATTAATTGTTATGAAAATATACTAGTTAAATATAGTAAAGTATTCACAGTTTCACACCTAGCAGCAATGGTAAGAGATTATATTGTAATCATTGAATAATATTAAAATTGGTTAAATTTTTTTTTTACCTGTAATTGAAAGTGTTACAGTTGAAGATTTTTTCTGGAGGAACCGGCCAAAAGAAGCAATCTAAAACCAAATACAAATCACGCGTAGTGTTCCGAAAGGGTCAAGTCAGGTCGGGTTTGAAGATGTATTCGAACTTGACCCGAGTATAAAAACCAACCCGTACAAATACCCGGGTTAATATTTATATGACCTGACCTCTGACCCGACCCGATATAGTTTAACCCCCGGATAACCCGGGTCCAAATAAAATTTTCAGATATTTTATAATTTTTTAAATCCTCCTTACGCCCAGCCTGATTTCAAACATATACATGCGTGATTTGTATTTGGTTTTAGATTGCTTCTTTTGGCCAGTTCCTCCAGAAAAAATCTTCAACTGTAACACTTTCAATTACAGGTAAAAAAAAAATTTAACCAATTTTAATATTATTCAATGATTACAATATAATCTCTTACCATTGCTGCTAGGTGTGAAACTGTGAATACTTTACTATATTTAACTAGTATATTTTCATAACAATTAATAAAATCTAATAAAATAGACTAGTTATTATTAAACATATATCTTCCATCATAGTGGAACATCTTGAATTCGATCTGCTCAAGTGTTATAGACTTCTTAAATAAGTTCGCTTTCCAAGAGTTAATTTCTCAGCTTCACTCATTTTATACACAAACAAAGTTAGAAATTAAAAATCGTGTAATGTAAACGTTTATAAATATTTTAAATATAAATATTTGATTAAACCCGGGTCAACTCAGGTCAACCCGGGTCAAGCAAAGGTGTGACCCTGACCCGACGAGTCAGGTTGAATATAAGACTCGTGTCAAATAATGATAAACCCGATTCAGATTTTAAACACAGGTCGGGTCAAATGACCCGGGTTTGACCCAACCCTTTCGGAACACTAATCACGCGTGTATATGTTTGAAATCAGGCTGGGCGTAAGGAGGATTTAAAAAATTATAAAATATCTGAAAATTTTATTTGGACCCGGGTTATCCGGGGTTAAACTATATCAGGTCGGGTCAGAGGTCGGGTCATGTAAATATTAACCCGGGTATTTGTACAGGTTGGTTTTTATACTCAGGTCAAGTTCGAATACATCCTCAAACCTGACCCGACTCGACTCTTTCAGAACACTAGTCAGAACTCGATATAACGAACCCTCCGTTCAGGTGATTTTAGGTCGTTATACTGAGAGTTCGGTAAAACCAATATTCTTGTTATACCTAACTTAATATGTAAATTTTTAATAATTCGGTTTATCAATTTTTTTTATAATAGGCGCTTTATTTATTATAAACTTGAGCTAAAGATAAAGTAACACGCTTATTTGTAGACATAACGATAATAAAAGAGTTAATAAAAAGGGCGAAAATTTTGTCTTATAATTATGAGATATTTAACTTACATCTTATCTTACCTGTTACTCTCTCGATTAAAATCGGCATATAGAATAAAAAAACATTTTTTTTTATAACGATGATCGGTATATAGAAAAAAGGTATCGGCGAAATACAAAATTGTATCACGTGATTTGTGGTACCAGCAAGCACAATTTATGCTTTGATAGTAGGAAAGCAAATATCAACTAGATCATGACAATTTTATTTTAAGTAAAAATAAACTTTTAGATATGCAACTGACAAGAATATAACAATTTATACATGGAGTATTTTACCACTTTCCAATTTATCGTATAACAATTATATTATAGAACTAGGTAGACGGAAACCATTGAAGGCTGTCACTTTGTGTAAATACAAAAAAATGTGATACAAATGTTAAAGGAAATAAGCAAGGGTAGTTTAATTCAAAAAGGAATTATGACGGTCGTAAGTAGAAAGAAAGAAATCACATGGGTTACAGATCTAGGGTATCTGGATTTTTCACCGAAGTCCAGCTGAAGCAATTTTGCCAAAGGAATGTTTTACCGAAGTGTCATTTCGCTGAAATTCCATTTCCCCGAATGGCCATTTTACCGAAGGGACATTTCGCCAAAGATATGGAATTTTTCAATTTTCCTTTTCTTTCTTATATGACAACTGAATTATTTACACATTACAAGTAGGATGGAATCGGTTCAAAATGAGTCGACTTGAGTCGATTCTGGAACCGATCTTAAATTTAAAAGATTCTGAATCTCTTGGGCTTAAAACTACTTTTAACCATAACAACCGTTCTGAACTTCGAACTGATTTTGAACTGACTTCAAATTAGCCCTGTTCATTTCCAGTCGGTCGCATTTTTCGGTCAGATTTAAGTTAATTTTGATTGGGCTGATTAATTTATACCATTTTTGAACTTTTAGCCCAATTTTTTTGGGTTTTTTGGTCGAATACCAAATAATAACCAACCAAAATTATATAATTTCTGTTTACGTGACATTTAAGAAAAAAAGGAACAATATATATCAATATAAGGAGTTCGAACTAAATTTCAATCTAAAACAGTTCAATTTGCGATCGAAAATAAAAAAATTTTATTGGATAATTTTTGTACAACAAAATCCGACCGAACCGAACATGGCTATTGAGTCATCTGACGATCACACTCCAACAATCATTTTGAAGGCCAATCAAAATTTTTCTGATTGATCACACTACTTGTGTCTAAAATTTGATGCATATTTTTATTTATTAAGCTGATGTGGAACTGAATTAGAACTGACGAACTGATTTCCATCCCTAATTACAAGCCGCGTTTGTTTATTGTATTTTAATTAAAGGAAAATTAATTTTATTCAACAATTTCATTGCATTCATTAATTTTCCTCAACGAAACACCATTTGAATACTAAATATCTCTTCGGCGAAATTTCCTTTCAGTGAAATGGCCTCGGCAAAATAGATTTCGGCGAAACGTACCATAATCTAGATCCTTCGTTACACTCCAGACAAATAAGTTGAAACTAGCAATATGAAAGTGAAATGTATTCATTATTACTCCTAATGTGGAACCAAAATCCTTTGATTCTGTTACTGTAATAGCTAAAAGATAATGTGTAATCGCATTATCGTATTTGTAAGTACCAAGGTCTTTATTGTTCATTTAAAACAATTTTTTATATTTAAAAATTTATATTATGCTTTAAAACATACGCTATCATTTTTTGTGGTTGGTTCTCAAAGGACCCAGAAATATATATATAGGGGTCAGGTGATGAAAAAAATTTTTACTATGAGATGTACAGTACGCATTTTTTCAGGGCCGGAATTATGATAATGTCAGTAGGTTACTATAATATGAAATAAATTCTGACTGGTGTTATCAAAAATTATCTAAAAAAGGGAAGATTTCATGAATTTTTTAGTTCAAAATACTACGCAAACTCAAACCCTTTTATATATTTCTGGGTCCTGTTCTCAACTCAAAAAAATTTTTTTTTTTTTGTGACCTATCAGTCTTGGATATGAAACATCGGTTGATTTATGATTTATTACATAACTTATAATACTGTTATACAAATTATAATTTATATATTTACAAAAACTTAATTATTAATTATACAATATCGGATTTTAATCGCTATTTTCGTTAATTATAATAATTTTATCATCTTTACTATTTATTTTTGGTTTCGTGTTCTCAAGTGATATACCACTATTTTCATTATCATAATTTATATCATAAGATTTTGGAAAAAAACCTTCATTCAGTATAAATTGAATTAAATTGCCAATCCCTCCAAATGAACGTCCTGTTTTTTTTTTTTAAAAAAAAAAAAAATTTGATTATTTAAACTATAATTACTTTAAAAACATATACGTTTATGTTTTTATTAATTCTTTACCTATAGTCCCCATAACATAGACCCAAGGTTCTTCATTCTAAAAAAAATGAACACAATAAATTAAGTATAAAATCAAAAAAATATTAAGATATTATTTCTATAGAATACATTACCAAAACAAATCTGGCACCTTGAGAAATTAACATAGGGATCCATTGTAAAATGAACATAGCTATATAACTCAAAATTTTTTTTGCAGCCTTTCTTTCAACTTCAGAATAATGTTCAAATGCAATAACTCTAACATTTGCAGTATTTTCGTTCCGACTACTTCGACTATTTGATGATGATGATGACAAAAATTCTGGTGCTTTGTGGACTTTTCTTAATATACTTATATAACAAAATAAGATTATCGATAATACTATCGTTATAGTAGAAAATAATATTATTGCTGAATTAATTTGTCCTGATTTTGCAGCACACCTAACAAAATGAAATATTTTAATTTTAAATATATAATATATGCTGCCGAGAAATAAATCTTGAAAGTGAGAATGGCTTACCAATAATCACGTTTACCATTATTTTGTATATTTACTAATTGAATTATCATACTTCCTGCAATTACAATTAACCAAAGTTTATAATCATATTTGCCATAATTAAGATGTATTTCGCGACAAATTCGAAGATAGGTTATTATCCTATTAAAAAAAGAAAGAAAGATTTCTTTAACTTTAAAAAAAAAACGAGTAGAAGTAAAATTAAAATTTTAATACTTACGCTATTACAGCATAAAAGCATATGTTTATCGTAAGAAATGCCCAGTTAAGTGCGCCAATTATTTTACATGGCATATTATTCCATACTTGTGCATATATAGCTGTGTGTAACTATTTAAAAAATTGTAATCTAATTCAAAAATTTATGAAATTATAAATTTAAAATATGCATTTAATTACTTACCATATTAATAAAAAAATTGCAATTTATTAAAAAATCTAAAAAAGTAAAGACAAATATATAAAAAGGCTATCGATGTACGACATAATCGTTTTATAAATCCTACGTACCTGTGCACGCAGTATAGAAAGGTAATCTATAAATCATGGCTAATTTTTTTCTACTTAATATCCACTGCATATAAACCCTATAAAAAACATAAACACATCCGATCAAGCCTAATACAATCATCGTTAACGAAAAATCTACCACTAAATGGAAATTATTTATATTATCCGGGGCATCCAATCGACCATCAATCGCTAAAATAACGTCAATGAATAGAAATAGAAGGATTATTATTGACATAAATGAATATTTTATAAATAACTTATTATTAATCATGTTAAAAAATTGATAATAAAAGAATGTAATGATGTGCGAAGTGTGCGAAAGTAAAATTTATTAAATAAATATGGAAGGAAAATAAATACAAAATCGGTAAAAATAGGTGAAAGAAACGTAAAAGCGTAAAATAGGTGTGATGAAAATATATTAAATAATAATTTATAAAAGTTCAAGAAATCTCTAATTAAATATGAATCGGGTCAAACCTATAGTGTTGTACAATATTTCTAATTTGGGATGTCATAAAAGGTTTCATAAAATCTAATAAATATCCAATATTTTGTTTCACAAACATATCGCTATCATAACAAAATACATCGCAATATTTGTTTGTTAGCACAAATAAGGTAAGCAAACTATAAAATTCCCCGGTCTTACTTATTAACGAAAAAATATTAAAATATTACTACAGACTTTACAACTGTGCTACAAACAATATACGGATATGACCAGTGTTGCCGGTTCTTATCGTTCTCGGTAATTATTGAAATTATCGATATCTTAATAGTAAAAAGATATTGACGTCGAATATAACTAAACTTAGTACATTGATTACTGTAAAACCAGAGAATAATGTTAAATTTACTTCGAAAATTCTATAAAGAAAAAAAAGTTCTTAGCCACCAACTTTAAAATGTTTTGCTGACCAAAGTAATAACGACAATTTTGGTTAGATCACTTGGATTAATTAAACTTTAAAAAATAATGTCACACGTTTGTCAATCATTATTTAAAATATGATTGTAACATGTTTGATAAAAAAAATCAAGACCCTTTTTATATACATTTTCTTAATTGATTATATACTGTACATACGAATACCGCTTATACTCAGTATATATTTATCACACAATACTAGCAATTAATTGTGCAATTCTTGTACGCCTTACATAAGTCATTATAGCTAGCATCTATTTTGAACTATCCCGCCGATCTCTTGTTTCACGAACCATTCAATTTGCCAATTAAATATACTTATAAAGAATGTTTGGTAAAAAAATAAAATAAATTAGTAAATGCATAAATAAATGAATATTTTATAGATAAGGATAATAAAATTTTTTTGATTATCATCAAATTAATAATATTTTAACTTAAAGGAGTACAAAACACAAATGATGTATATAAGTGAACGAAAGAAGTAAAAGAAAATTTTGTATCACTTTAATCACCCATTCAATCATTTTCAAATTCAAAAGTTAATAACTTTAGTTATTGTATTTAATATATAACATTTTATTAATGAAGTAAATAATACTTCCATATATATACTATTACACAGTGAAATTCAATATACCGGACGTCCGCTCCAATAGTAATCCGGTATATCGTGTAGTTCAGTAAGATCCAGATTATCGTATTACATTTCGTATATAATATTTATTATTACGAAATTATAAATTACATAGATACAACAGTTGGTATCGCAACGTTGTTAATTTAGTCCTTGTCTTGGTGCGACCATTACACGTACCGTAAATTCATATTCAAAAGATAAAGGAATAAAAACATAGCAGCTAGACATAGTAAGAAGCCACCAAATGCCCACCATTAGCTTCTCCGAGTTCAATTAGAAAGAAAAGAAAATATTTTATGGGAGTTTAATACATGTTCAAGTTTGTTAGTGTAACTTCAATAAAGAAATGCACCATACCATATAATTATGATGGAAAATTCCTTTTAATCACTAATCACAACTATCTATAAATTTAGCGATATTATATATACTGGTCTCGTAAGCTTAGCCATAAGTAATATGAGTACGTTAGGAGATTTTTAAAAGGTATTAGGTAAAGGATTGAGAAATAGCTAATTCAATTAAATAAAGTATTAGATCGGCATTTCTAAATCTCACCGCGGGTGATTTTAACCGCACCAGCATTAGCAATTATTAATGGGCGGAGTTTCATGACATTTGTAATTCTGCCAAAATTCTACTCTAATCCTGGTAAGGTGACAATTACCAGCGGTGATATTTAGCAATACTCGATCTTAGAATTTTTTAAAAAGTGTATTTTTTTTTTGTTCCGAAAATTAATTAATTGTTTTGTTGTAAAAATATAGTTGTGATAAATTACTTATTATAACAAACTAAAATCACCAAACCAGAATGCCAGCTGAACTTCTAATATCTTAATTTCCTATGACTGGCGTCAAACTGCAGCGAAGTCGAATTCGTACGACAGATTGTACAACCTACAGAGGAAATGAATTCTCATATTACAGTATATGCATATTATTTAAAGAAAAAGTCTTTATGCCACCCAGGTGGTACATAAATTTTTTTGCCACCTTTGATCACGTGAGTAAATTTAAAATTTGATTGGCTTGCCTTTATCCTCCTTGGCTTTGATTTGGTGATTCTTATTCTTTTTTATTTATTTGGTTATTTTTGTTCTTTTGATCCATTTCTGTCATGCTGTACATCTGAGTTTAATAAATTGCAGGCACACCACGCGACATTTAAACAATAAAAAAAAACAAAAGAAAAATTTGTAAATTTTAAACTTGTTGCCATCAATCAAATAAATCGAAAAATTTAATCTGTTAAAAAATTCAATGTTGTACAGTGCGGTACCTCTATAACCGACCCAATTTTATAGTCATAATGTGACATTTTCAAAAAGATGTCACATTAGCAAAAAATAATATTTTAAAATTCTAACCGATAATTTTAATAAAGCATATCAAGAACTTTTAAACTTATCGGGTTAGATTAAAAAATAATAAATTTTGCTAGAGTTTGAAGTTCGGGTAATTTATTATGATGGGAAAAATTTGAGAATAAGTGATTTTGTGTAACATAAAAAAAAATAATCATTTGATAGTGCTTATTCAAATAAATCATTTTAGCTTATAAACTTACGTATGCTTTGTTAAAGTTTTTATTTATTACAAATTATATTATGTCTATTTCTCAAAAAGGAATCACAGGAAAACTTGCTAAAAAAATATAAATCCCATAGAAAAGTTCCTGATGATATACTTAATCAAATTACTTTAAATAATTATAATGAATAATAAATTATATATAAAAAATTATGCATAATTCTAATTAACATTAGGTATTGCATTAGCCAATCAAATTTATTTTAAGTCATGTGATTTTGTATTATGTCAGCAAAAAAAAAATTGAGAAAATTTTTTTATTTGCTTAATGTATTTATCTTTTTAAAAGCTATCTAATTTTAAAATTTTATAAAATTCTGACCATTAGATCACAAAATATAAGGGGTACCTATTATAGAGGTACCGCACTGTATGTACCGGATAATAATCTTTAACTGTTAATTAAGAATTTAGTAAAATTAGCCAATCAAATTTATTTAAATCACGTGATAATGGTGGCAAAAATTTTATACCACTCGGTGGCACCTAAATAACTCTTTATATTTTAAATTTCAATTTTGAACAAACTATGCTTAATGAAAGTAATTGTGAGGTCACAGCAAAATTATGATTAGCCACTATTGTTTTTATACCATTGTTTTATATGCTAAAAAGAATGAGTAATGATAAATGACGGACTTGTCACACTCTTTGCTCGACATCAGGAAAATGATTGTTTGGTAATTGCTGTGTAACCGCAATGAGAATACTTTAAGTTGTATGATTTGCTTTTTTTTTCTCTTTAAACATAAATAAGGAAACAAAAAAAATTTTTATATACGCTTTTTGATAATCACGTGATGTTAGTTAAATTTCATGTTTTGAGACTATAAATTCCGTGAATATGAGAAATAACGTTCTTTTTCTCTTTCGTTCGCATACAATGCTGGTAATGCCTAGCTTTGTATTTTTCAATAGTAAGCAGTACGATCCCTTCTTAGTAGAAGGGGTTGGGTTTATATGGGTACAGTGTTAGCGTAGTAGTTTCCTTTTGTAAGGGCTCAGCCCACAAACTTGTATGGCTCCCGTCATTGTCTATATTTTAAAAATAAAATAAAATAAAATAAAAATGAATATGAGAAATAACATTGAATAAAAAAAACAAGGAATATTCCGTTTATTCCAATTGATAACTTAATTAGTAATCATTATTTTCATTTACATATTTCCCAGTGAGGTATTATCTGTTATACAAGAAAATTAGTCTTCATATGACTGATAAAGCAATTCACAAAATAAGGTAGTAACCCCGGAAAAAGTTTCTTTACTATGTTGCGTCAGAAAAACTTTTAATTGGAAATTTTGATGGTGATCATGCAAGAAAATTGAAGATAATATGCTTAACTTCTATTGTTCTACATAATATTGCATAAATGTTTGTTTTTCATATATGCAAAACTTTAACATAAAATAGAAAATTTACCTATCAAGGAAATTATCCTTTTTTGAAAAATTTTCTATATAAGATAAGTATTGAAAGGTCATTGTCCGCTAAAGTTAATTAAAGATAAATGAATTAAATGGCAATAAACTGTAAAAGGACTCATAATAAACCTTCGTTATTGGTTGAATAGCTCGTCGCAAAAACGGGCGTGACGGAAATAATATGTTTTTTTCCGTTGGCGTCCTATAAATTTACTTAACAGATTTTATTTATAGCAATTATAATTTCATTGATTTTATAACAAAGAAAATTTTCATCTTTGATAGTGTATTTTCTTCAGTGCTTTAATAATTGGATAAATTAAACATGATATTGATTATAGTAAGGTGAACAATTTATTTGCTTTGGGTTTAATATTAAATTATTTTAAGTAATTTAAGACATCGCATTATCTGATTAAATTATGATATAATAAAATAAAAAAAAATATTTTTTCACGACTTTAGCTGAAATACACAATCGGTAATTTATCTCGCAATATCACTAAATGCACACGCATCCTTAAAAATCTCATTCTTGGACTTAAAAAAGCAGGAAATATATCAGAATTAGCATTAAGCCTTGTTCGAGAATTCGTCATTTAACAAATACTAGGAAACGCAAAATCCAAGAATATGAAAATCCATATATTAAAATAAAGTTCAAAAGGAAATAATGTGTTCTCTCCCGTTGACGATTTGTATGCTATTCAAACTTTTCATTATGTAAATTTTGTCAGATGATGAAAACACTTTTTGTAATTGATAGTAGAACTTAAAGTTGGTCACAAAAAACAAATATTTGCGC